GACATTTCAGAAGAGCCTGGCTGACCACCAGCAGTTAGAGCAGTTTCAGTGACGGMTAAATCCTGGTGGTCTTTCCAAATCCACATTTTCTACCCTTCAAATTTCCAACTGTCATCTGGTCTCCAACTGGAACCATGTGTTTTCCACCCTGAGAGCAGATGCCCATCTGCAGCTCTCTGCTGATTGGCTGTGATGACCTYTGCTAGGCTCACTTGGGTTCATGTCCTGTATTTTGGCTGACAGCTCATAGTACCACTGCACAGGCAGGCTTATTAGGGAGTTTCTGCTTTCTTGGCTGCAGGATCTGAGCTGTTATAAAACAGATTACAAAAATACCAACAGAAGACAAGAATGGAAAATTAAAGAGAAGATCTCAGAAACCTCCCAAATTGACAGTACTGCAATTGCTGCAYGACACCATCACCTAAACACTTACTGACTAGCATATTTTACCAGTAAAATTCTCTYCAAGATGAAAATATGTATACATTACCACCCGTCTCTGCATTACATGCTTTCAACAAAGTACAGCTCTATCTCTGGGAAGTTAAAACAATTGATAACACTCAAAGTCTGCTGCCAAAACTCTCCTACTTGATGGTCAGAAAGCATAASTCTTAATTAAAATCCACACTCAAGCCACACCAGAAAAATGCTTCCAGCTTCAACAATTCCTGCACTTTGGAGACCACTATATCTCTGTGATCAAGACATTAAAGGCAGGCCTCTGGAATTCCTCAACTATTCATCCATTCTGAGAAGCCAACCTGTTCTGGTAATGCCTCCCATCACTGAGTAATTTTTAACTTTATGTGAAATATCCCTGATAGGAACAAAAGCTGTGAACAAAAGCATAGAATATGCACCTGAAAAACTTCAGAGGGGAATATGAAGGGGAAATAGAATTGGAATTTCTAAAATGCTTCAGCAATTCTGGGATCAAGACACCTTCTAATGTAAGGATTTACCCCTGGTTAGTTCTGAATCCCTTGTGCTCCSTCTGGGGGTTTGCAAACACCCATATGCAGGCATTTTCTGGGTGCTTGTCAGAGGCAGTATGAGTAATTCCTTCCTGTCTCGTAAGATTTGGTGGCTATCCAAAAAACAAGGGAATTAGAAGGGGGAAAGAATGTGTGAGTCACAAAGAGATTTTTAATTTGTAAATGGCACTTGTAAGGCTTATGTTGAAATACATCATCCAATTCTGGCATACAGATTTTAGAGAGGCTGTTACGGCGTGGGGGAATGAGAAAAGGTGCAAAGATGAAGGGCTCAGAAGACAGAAAGAAGAAGACAGAAACATTTTAGTTCATTTAAAATAGAGAGGTGATTTGATTGACTTGATGACTTAATTTATAAGAACTTCCCCCAGCAGAAAGATAACAGTTACTAAGACTGATTGATGTAAATCAGTAACTAAGATTGATGTAAAACAGTTACTAAGACATGGAAGTGATGTAAAAGCCAAAGTGACACATTAGAAAGGTACATTTTTAGCATATGGGTGGAAAAACCATTAGAATAAGCCATCATTCTAAGAAAAYTCTTGAGCCTGTAGCTCATGTCTGGGCATCTTCAAAAATATTTACCTCCATCAAGTTACTGGGCTTTGTAGATGGATAGCATGTAAGTTTATATTGAGAGAAGAGAATTGTTGGTCTAATGGCCCTTCTTGTTCTTAAAATTCATAAATATTTTAGTAGAGAAGTACAGTGTGCTGTGATGTGACTGCTTGTTACGCTTCTGGAATYCAGTCACTTCACCAAGTACACTCTTGAAGGCTACACATGCTGGGTGAAGAGTAAAGTCCTCTTCCATCACCAAGCAACATGGTATTCTTGGTGTCATGTGACTTTTCTCTCCCATGAAAGACTGTATATCAACATCAGTCTGCACAGATTTCTCAAAACAGGGTCCCAAATCACTTTTAGGATATAAATAGACTGACAAAGGCATTTTCAGGAGGCAGTTGATGTTTTCCACCAACCATCTATTGTTTAAATGAAACTGAAAAGTTGCACGTATAGTGGCACTTTCTAATTCAGGTTACCTTTTAAGCTTTAATTACTTGATAACGAAGAAAAACACCTTAGCATTTAAAATTCAAAATGTTACCAGAAACATTCCAGATGCTCCCTGGATAAAAATGAAACTGTCTATTGTCACTTTCAGTAAGTTCTGATGCAGATATGAGTTTTCACAAAATTTCATCTTATTTTTACCTTATGCAGGTAAAATACAGATACCTCAAGTATCACTGATAATGACAGAGATAATTGATAACCACACACARCTTGTTCATGTCTTATTTTCCTGTGGTTGTATTAGGAACAATACAGAATGTTTGACTGCAAAATAACAGGGACACCAATGTTCCTTATAGCAATCCTCCTATGAAATCTCTGATTAGAAATACAGAAATTTTAATTTCTGCATCTGTATACACAATGAGAAATACAGGTTAGCAAAGGACAAAGTGGCACAGTTACCTTTGCTGAAACAACAAAAATCTCTGCAGAAAGCATTTTGGTTTATATTTGTTCATATAAAAMTGCTGTGAACCTCAACAGTGTTTAATTGTATGATTCACAGCAATTTTTCTCTTTTTTTTTTGGAAAAGCATATGCAGTATACATAATAAATAAAAAATATATAAAAYAATATTTAGTCCACATATTCTTCTATAAATACACCCGCACATAAGTAGCATTCATTCCTAGCCATCTGATCACAATATATTTTAAATTATTATCTTCTGCAAGGTAAATGCATGTTTTTGCACCTACTCTCAATCTAAAAATTACTTTCATTTTCATAAATTGGACATATGTTCAATGAGAATATGTAACTGCTGAAATTGAGATCACTTCCAAATCCAGTAGAAAATTAAAAAATTATCTTAGTTCATCAAGACTGGGTACCTATGACTTTAAAAGTTCAGAACACTTTTCTTACCCTCTGTGATCAAATGATCACCATTCTCTCACAAGTACTCATTCTTGATTATTTTCTTTATATTTGTGGATGTAATTTTTTGTGATAACTTAATCAAAAAAGAGGTGGATCAAATGGAGAAAGTACAGAGGAGTTTAACAAATGGGATCAGAAATCTAGAAAGCATGTTCTACTGGAAGAGCTTGGTTTGTTTAGTCTAAAAAGAGAAGACTGAGGAAAGATATGATAACAGTCTTCAACTATGCAAAAGGTTATAATAAGAGTTCTTCATGCCCACAAGGGATAGGGCAAGAAGCAAGGAGCTTAAATTAGAGCAATCATGACTTATAATCATTAAAGACATATTATGGGATCCTAGAAACTCAAACTTTAAGATTTAAAAGCTTACCTACTTAAAAATTATCATAAGTATTTAAATGTAGCAAGAACAAAATTTACTAACTAGTGTTTAGTGTAGCACAAATAGATAACAAATCCGTYGTGGTGGACCACAACATTTGTCCATGTGCAGACCAGAGCAAAACCACTAAGTGCTGACAGCACAAGCTCAACGGAACAGATTCATTTGTTCTTCCACAGTGGCCAAAAGCTGAAGATCTGTTCTGTACAATTACTTGATAACTCTTGCTTAAGGCTATTTCGATTTCCACTTTGCTCTCCACTTTGCTCCTCTGTTATTCTCAGTGACTTAGTTCAGTTCAAGCACAAAAACATAATTTCAAAAGTCTAAGAATAATTCTGATTTGGTCAGGGGAACTGAAAAGGAAAAATAACAAAAAACACTATAAGGGAACTGTTCTCCTGATATCACAAGTAAAAGTAAATCACTCTGATGTGAAGAAAAAAAGCATTTCACCCTTCCTCCCTTCAGTGTTGCTTATTATTGACCTCTAGTTTTAACTACACACTGCACAAACAGAAATAGAAGTGTCTAATTAACTAATCATTGGCATTCAAATAATTACATCAATGTCTACCTTTTAACTAGTCTTTCACTTTTTTCTTCAAGGCAGGGAAAATTCTGACCTGAATGCTGGAAGTCTTATTTAACTCACCTCAGTGCTAGTCATGCAACAAAACAGGCAATAATCACACCTTGTGTTATGAGGTAAAACTGTTCCTCACTATGTTTACTTCAGTAAAAAAAGTAACAGAAATTTCCGTACCTCTGCATCACCTGGAGATTTTATAAACTATAGAAACCTAAATAAAGCACAGTACTTTACAAGTTTTCTGCTTGAAAGGAGGCAATCTCTTATTTTTTTCTCTAAAACTTAGACACTGAACAGTATCTGTATTCTCAGTAGAATTATAATTGCATCTTACTCAGTTTAATGGATGTTGTACAAAGCAAAAAAAAGTATCCATTCCACAAAGTGACAGGCATTTAAATAATTATCTCTGCCGCAGTAATTAACAGTGTTTTTGTTAGATGCCCTTTACTCCACCAATCTTTTTAACCGCGACAAGACTGAGAACTAAACCATTCTGTGTAYAGTTGAAAGCCCTGCGTTGCTGACAGACACAAATGATATTTCATCAAAGATATATTCCTTTTCAATATTGGCTCTCAAAAGACATCTTACATCTTTAAAAAGTTGAGATTTGGACCRACCTATCTGGCTAATGGAGCACTAAATTAAGATTAATAAATCAATCAGTGGGAATTAATCATTGCACAGGGAATTTTTTTTWAAAAACGCCTTTGATAAGAGAAGAGAGATACAGAGCCTGAAAGAGTGGTCGTCTTGATCCACTATGGATTTTTAAATTATTTTTCTCACTGCCTCCATGGTCAGATATACTTAAAGCAAGGACAACTTAGAAAAGATTTTTTTTCACTCATTAATGTTGTGCTAAATAACAACATACTGTATGCCTTCTAGAAGCATTCACCACGTACAGAGCTAAAACTGCGTGGGAAAGCACAATTGCTAATGAAATCCCAATAAATGTCATTGACCCAGATTGAGGCAGCAGTCTCAAGTAACTCCAGTTTCCTCAAGAGTAAAGAGTAAAGGTGACTCAGTTGAACAGTTTATTACCTTGAATACTCCTTTTGAAAAAGGCTTTGCAGCCCTCACAAGACCAGACCCCATAGTGGTATCCTGAGGCGTAGTCGTTGCAGACAGCACAGTACCGAGTTTCCTTGGTGGATTCCATGGACAGGCTCCCTTTSTCGTTGGTACTGGACATCCTCTCCCGGATGCTGTGGCGCCTGTTATCAGAGCTTGGTCTGTTGGTAGCAAAAAAAAAAAAAAACCAAAAAAACATAATGCATGGTTTTTTCAGGGAGGTTAAACTWCATCCAGTGGTTCAGGTTGTGAGAAGTTTCGTTTGTTTGAAAACAACCGATAGAAAGAAAAATTATCTACTGCCCTCTCTCCTAGTTGGAAAGCTGCAGAATTAGTAAGATAAAGGGGAATTTCTCATAAATCAACCTGAAGTAATTTGGAATTGCATCTTGAAAAATTTAAAAGTCATTTGATAAATTAGTCCATTTTTCAACATTACAAAAGAATACAAAAAAACACCAGCACTATTTTGTGTACCTGCTCCCATCCAAAGGTTTCAGCATAACTGCAGTATCAGCAGCTAGCTTGAGAATCTGAGTCAAACATCACTTTATGACTGCACCTGAATCAGTTTAATTATTAACTTAAATTATTATATTAGATACACCTAAATTATTAACCAAGCTATTTTCAAGTGTTGTTGCCCAATTAGAGATGCAAGCTTCCCTTCACTTGTCAAGATCTAATACTGCATAAAACAGTGCCTGTTCTCATTACAATACCACTTCCATAAAAATTAAGAAACCGTTTTAGTGCAACAAAAAAAAAAAAAAAAAAAAAAAAAAAAAAAAAAAAAAAAAAAAAAAAAAAAAAAAAAAAAAAAAAAGACTGTATTGAAAATGGCTGTAGAACTTTTGTTCCAGTGACACACAAATGTTTCTGCACATGTACCAGACATGCACATTACCCCCATGAGCAGGATGCTGCTGAACAAAAACCAAACAGATCTGTCTGTAAATGGCATTGAATTCACATCCAGTGAACCTGGTAAGAGGTTATTATGGGTAGCTGCTGCAGGCACAGTACACAATATTCAAAAACACTGAGAGGATGTGCAATTGCCAAGGGAACCACCAGTGTACTCTGGGATTGCCCCTGGAAGGCAAACAGTTCTTGCAAAACATGCTTTCCAGTAGGAGTCTGCACTAAAAATTGTCCAGGAGACAAATACCATCGGGTGTGACAGCACCAGACATGCCAAAGCATGAAGAATCCAACTGTTTGTACTAATTATCCACTTACATGCATGCTTTAATTGCTGATTAGTAAACTGGTGRCTTTTATCTCCCCAGAGTCTCAACATTTTCTCAAACAAACATACCCTGGTTTTGAGCCTAGGAGACTGTCAGATTTCACCCTACATACCTAATTTTGTCTTATTCCATTTTTGAATGCAGAAAAACTTGCTGTGTTTTGATGAACTGAGACTTTGGCACCAACCACACCTTCCTGCTCCAAACCTGTACTCCCCAGCAGCTGCCTGATATCTTWAGGTGTGCTCAAATAACTCATTTAGTCAAAATTTCCTGACATYTCATACTGCAGTTCCTCTCAACATCTAAAAACTTTCTACCAGCCAAAGGTACCTGGACACTCTCACAAGTGCTCTCAGCCATCCCCTCAAGACTTCATATATATATAATTTCTGTCCCCAAATATGATATTAATTAAAAGCTTTTCAATGAAAATATATCAGTTATTAGAGAAAGATGAGGCTTTACCATGTTAGATAGCAGAAACTGCTACTGGCATCATTCAGGAAACATGCTTTTTTCAAACCCTATGCTCTTTGCTAAGAGTTATATATCAGTTAATTTTGAACATTTACTTAAATAACTTATTGTTTTCCTTCAGACTTGAGCAGAAGTGAAGAAATGTAAAGGGTGAAGTGCTGACATGACACAACTCTGGTCTTTAGTGAGACAGGAAAATTGGAGAATGTCACAATTGACAACATAATTCTATGAAACTAGGCAGGGAAAAAGGTCCTTGCATATTCTAGATGCTAAAATGTAAAAAATGAAAAATGTAAAATGCACAAAAATTAATATATTTTCATTRATCAATCATTATGGTTCCAACACATACCTTTTCCAATCCAACAAACCTAGCTAACATTTTTATTCTTCTCAAGGTCCTGAACCTTCTTTTGAATTTGCTTTATCTCAGTGCCTCCTTTAATTGACTTTTTTTTTCTTCTCTACTGAGCACTGATCAAAGCTGCTGTTTCTTATCTTCTCCACCACATTCTCCACTGTCTGCAGCTTTATCACCTCTGTCAGTATAACTTTAAACCACAACGTGGCTTCTTTAAAATACATACTCTTAGGTACCCTTAACTACAAGAATATTTTAAATATTTGAGGTAAACCAGCAAGCAATCTAATAACTGTCAATATCATTTAAGAGCAATGGACTAATCTGTTACGGATATATGATGACTTGATAGATATYCATCATATGTGATCTTTTTTTTCCAAAACTGATACAAATATGCATGTTCTACAAGATAAGGTTCCCAGAATTATTTTCATATCAATAAGTACAAAGAAATTACAACTTTATAAAGTTAAATATTAAGTTATCACTTTTTAAAAACACTACAAGAAAAAAATGCTAGTTTCAAAACAGTTACATATTTTTGCAGGTGTRTAGCAGTTTTTCAACATCACACACACATACACATGCTTACTAAAGCAATCCTAGTTTCCCAATTGAATAGGAAAGAAAACACTTTCATAAGTAAAACCAAAATAAATATCAAAAAGTACCAATCACCACTGATTTATCCATCAGAAAAATGAAATTTTCCTTTTTTCAGAATATCCATCTTTGTTCAGATCTAGCTTAGGTTCACAAATATATTTTTATTAAACTTATATTTAAGAAAAATAAAAAAATACTGAAAACTTACTTGAAATAAGCAAAAGAAGCTTTTTTTAATGTAAATAGTAAAACAGTGTCCTTTTTCAGAGGGACACTGCAGGCAGAAGCCMTGAGAGAACCTATTCCCTGTTTCCTGATCCCAGGGTGTGTGGTGCCAGGGATCACAGGAAGCAGTGCTGCTGCTCACCCCTGCCCGCAGTGCCCGCAGCATGCCAAAGCTGACTCGGGTCTCCATAGCCTTCCTGCACACAAACTTGTGACATTGGGAGAGCCATAAATCTGTTAAYACAGACTTTCACAAAGCAAAAGGAATCTAAAGATGACCTTGSTCCTTCCCACCCTCAGAATCTGTGMCACTCTAGCAGCACTAGAGAAAGGTTTCGCAAACTGGCCCTGTAGAGCCATTGCATTCACACTTTGGTGAATTCACATTCACACTCCATCTTCCCCAGAAATAACATCTTTTCCATTTACACAGTCAAAATAAAAGCTGATAACAAATTAAGTCAAGTAATTATTAGAGGAGGCGAGGAGAAAAGCTTTGTGTGAAAAGAGGATCCCAATAACCGAGATTGCTAAACCAAAATAACATATGATTTCATCGACAAACCAGCTGCTAGTTAGTGCACATCACAGACCACTGATGCTCTATCCTGACTAAAAAAAAAAACCAACATAATAGTCTGCTCTTCATCCAGYTTTCACTTAGGTTTCAAGGGCTGGTCTTCTGAGAATGTAGCACAACAACCTAATCCAGTTTAATAACTTTGGCAAGACCACCTTTCCCAAAATACAAGAGCAGAACCTTTTCTACAATTTTCTTTGTAACCTATGCAAACAATAACAAAAAAAAGACKAAAAGGTCTTTCTTGACAATTATATTTACCCAAAAAACCCACAAATCAAAGAGAAAGAAAACCCCAGATAAAGCCCTCTCTCCAAGGCCTGCACCAAAACAGGACAGAATAGAAAACTAAAAAAAAAACCAGAATTTACTGCTCATTTCCAAATGCAGTAACACAGCAAACATCAAATGGAAAGTGTTTGGAACCTACAGAGCGGAACAAACTTACTTCCACACTCGCTTTCATGTTTCATGCTTCAATGAATGTGTAAGGAAACAAGATACTCGTACTTTATACATCCACTCATGACCTGCAGCTCTGAATCAGAAAGAGATTATTAATCCTATTTTGACTGCAAAGTAAAAAGAAGGTGTAAATGACACAGTTACACTTTTATAATGTAAACTTAGTTTTTTATATCAGGATAATCTGACTGGCAGGCAGGACAAATCTAGAATAGCCMAAAGTACATGATCCACACAACAGTGAGGTAAACCCCAATTTATTCACAAYGCCAGCTTTATCTGAAATAAAGAGATTTCATAGTAGGAGGTCTTAAGGTAAAAGTTATTTAAGTAATTAAAGAAGACACCTTGAGAAATTCTAGTTTTCTGAGTTTATTTTCCTACAAGAAACTTTATACTGCAGCTGTTGAATCTTTTTTACCAGAATAGATGGAAGTTCCCAGTGTAAGGTGCCTCAAACTAATGCTCATTTCAATTGCAGTTAATGTCTAGCACAAATGTTTTTCCACACATGGCACTTTCTATAACACAATTCTACCATTCAATATGAAATCAATCTGCTGTTAGAATGTGAACTTTTTTATAGGGCAAAATAGTTATGAAATACTATTTGAACAGAATTAAGTGCTTGATAACACTTGGAAGACATCTCAAGCAGAGGTATTGTAAAAGGAATGACTTAAATATATAAATAAACAGAAAAATGCCAAGTACATTAAGGACCTCAAAATGGTGCTCTGAAATAGTAGCTCCAATGAATCTGAAAAAAAATTCGTATGTCATCCTAATGAAAGTGTTGGCTTAAAAAAACATCCCAAAATGTCTAGAGCTGTAATCAAGCTAAGTACAACTTGACAGCAGCGAGAGAAAGCCTTACATGAAGTTGTATCTCAAATGGACAGAATCACAGGGTATTTTAGGCTGGATGGAGGTGGGAGGTGGCCACATGCCAAGCCAGTGTTGGCACAAGACTACAGCAMTGAGGGTGGGTTCCAGCAACAGGAGCAGCAGCTGGCATCACTCCTTGGCTGATTCTCCATGGGTGGTGAAGATTGGCTAGGACTCACCCTGGGACCTGATTGTCAGTGATTCCTGATCCACGGTTCTGGGCACATGCAACTCACATAGCTGAATACTCTTCCTCCCCAAAACAGGATGGTTTTATCTATGCCACCATAGGAGAAC